GGTGGGAATGGACTTGCTGCAGACAGGACAGCTGCGGCCTGAGCTCCCTCCGAGTGTTCCATGTTCTGTTCTTGGCGTTCCAGATGTGATGAATCGGCCAGCCACACCGCTGCATCCACTTCAGAGCTAAGCTACCAGATGTCTTGACCACTGAGAACGGAAGCCCGGCTGGGTAGTTTTTTGTCTTTTGTGCATGTGGTGAGTACAGGAGCGAGAACCGTATCGTATCCGACCCTACATGTGCCGTGATCGAAGTGATGACCACCAGGGATATATTTTTTCTTTCGCGGGAAAGCGCCGTCGTCTTTTGCTTACGTGGCCGAAAACTATAGTCATATGAGTGATATGAGGACAGGTAAGCGAAAGTTTGGGGGAGAACCGCGGTCGCCCGTCTTGTCCTATAGCTGGCTCAAGGCCGAGCGGGAGTTCGTTCGTGCTCAGAGCGTAAGCATCGCGTGCTAAGAACCTCAAAAATCTCGTGATAAGAACGCACGAATCTGGACCTCCTGGTGGACCACGGTCATGCTCGTATCACTGGTGAGCCGGCTGTCAAGAGGTGATGGCAGGATGGCGGGAAAGCAGAAAGAAGCGAAGAAAGCACAAAAAAGCGAACGATTCGCGGTCCTGGATGGAAGGCAACTACACCAGGGCCAAGGTCCCACTAGCAAAGAGAATAGGATGAAGTTCCTGAATCTGGATTTGTTTTGTGCAGAGATGCAGAAAAGCAGTTCAATCTCGATTTCCTGCATCTCTCAACAAACACGTCCAGATTCGGGCATTCGATCCGATCCTCTTTGCTACAGTAGTGGGACCACGCCCCAGCGCGCCAATTCCCAATCTTGAGCGTTAGTCTGTGCACGGGATCGAAAGAAAGAGCGCCAGGAAAAAAAAAAAAAGAGAGAGAAAAAAAAAAGAAAAGAAAGAGTGCCAAAACACCACCTTGGCTTTTCTAATGCATCTTACTGTATTCACATCCAGAGCGCAGCTAAAGAAGTCCTAATTATAAAAAAAAGGAAAAAAAAAGTCCTACTCCGCCACACTATGTAGCTCTATCTTCAATGTATCGGATCGCCTTTACAGCCCCACCTGCATGTATCTGACCGCAATTACGCCCGTTCTTGTGTGATTATGCCTTGAGTGATCAGGCGCTCTAGAGCTCCGACGAAGCAGGGAACGACCGAATAGGACAGCGGCTGGGGCCTTCCGCGAGCTCGGACTGCCGGGCCCAAGTCCCACTTACGCTGATTCTTTTCCATTTCTGGCCGTTGATCTTCGTAATCTACGGTCAGAAGTTGAGAATTCGGGTAAGTGGGACTGTTTTTTTTTTTTTTTTTTGGTACAAGAATTGGACCATTTCTCGATTTATGCGTGCGCAGGGGCCATGCTAATCTTCTCTGTATCGTTCCAATTTTAGTTTAACGAATGTCCCGGGGCCAAGTCCCACTTACCCGAATTGTCAACTTCTGACCGTAGATTACGATGATCAGCGGCCAGAAATGAAGAATGAGGGTAAGTGGGACTTGACCCCCGAAGGACGTAATTGGGACCTTTTTTTTTTTTTTTTTTTTCCTCCATAAGTGGGACTTGGCCCCGGGTAGCAAGGGGAATGTCATTAGAGGAAGTGGGACTTGACCCCCGAAGGACGTAATTGGGACCTTTTTTTTTTTTTTTTTTTTCCCCTCCATATTGGGACTTGGCCCCGGGTAGCAAGGGGAATGTCATTCGAGCGCCAAAGCGCCAGAACACGTACCTGCCGCTCTTTATTTTTGTTTTCAAAAGGACATGGCGCTCTTTTTTTTTCCGTTTTCACGAGGACCTGCCGCTCTTTTTTTCGTATGAAAAAGGACCGAAATGAGCGGGAGGCATTACCTGCTGACCTTGGTCGGCAAAATTCTCCTTTTTCAGGAGCTTAGAAAGCATGAACCCGGTCGTCATTACGGTTACAGACGTGCCTTCTGATAAAAAACACTGCACAAAAAAAAAAAAAAAAAAAAAAAAAAAAAAACACTGCACGAGTCCGGTGTGGTCCTCCAATGCAACGAGAGGGACGGCTCCATGTCCCACTAGCGGGGGTTTAGTTTATGTTTTGTGTATTTATCAACGTGGTCACACTGTGGCCCCAGATCAGATGGCAGGGAGCCACGTATACCGGAAGCCGGAACTACCGGTAGAGCTCGACAAGCGGGGGCAAGGTCCCACTTGCGCAAATTAGGAGATCTCGGCCGTTGATCTTTGCTATCTACGGTCATTATCTCTTAATTCGTGCAAGTGGGACTTAGCCCCGGGACATGGCTCCTGAGCCCTTTTCTTTTGTTTTTTTCTGGGGGGGGGGGGG